CTCAGTAACCCCCCTCTGGGAATTCCAAGCGCACCCCCATGCACGCTAACATACATGATGGCACCACTCTGATCAGTCAGTCACAGTCCCTGCACCTTCTGGCAGGGGCAAGGTCCGCCCCTCGTAACGACGTAAAAATGCCCGATACACCTACTCCGTCATAAACTTAACAATCATCCTACGGGCAGTCACCAGTTCAATGCAATAAACATTCACCACAGGGACCCGCAGCATGTCACACAGCACTAGCCCCACCTCAGGATATCCAGCTCGACCATAAAACTTGAGGCCTACAGACTGGGCACGCACAACAGGGGGGAGGGGGGGTCCCCATGGTGCGACAAACAGCACCCTCCCACACGCAACTCCAGGTAGCAAGTCATGTGAAATAAAGTTGGTTTTTAATGGGTGTCGGAGCTTAAACTATTTGTATGTTGTCTAAAAAGATATTTAAAGCGCATTGTGATATTGGTGATCAGGGCAGAAAACACGGTTACGGCTGTACGTTACTGTTACGGCTGTACGTTACTAAACGTTTTTGACTCGGGATAGTTTTGCCTTTTACAGGAAACAGACGAACACAGGCATTAACGACTGTTGCAACATTACATACGTGTCGGTACAAATAATTCTTTGTGCAGTGTTTCTCGTCTTGTGCTGAAATATTACGTCGTTTTGCTAAATTTGTGCGTGTGAGTGTGTCGTAGGGCATGATGGGTCAACCACAACCTACAGGCGCTGGTAGCTGATCCAGCGTATCCATGGTGCTTGACAGCACCCTGGATACATAGTCCTGTGGTCCCGGGTTCGATTCCCAGCGCCGGCGGATTCAGATGGGCAGAGTCTCTTTCACCCTGATGCCCCTGTTACCTAGCAGTAAATAGGTACCTGGGAGTTATACAGCTGTTATGGGCTGCTTCCTGGGTGTGTACTCACCTAGTTGTGCTTGCGGGGGGGGGGGTTGAGCTCTGGCTCTTTGATCCCGCCTCTCAACCGTCAATCAACTGATGTATAGATTCCTGAGCCTACCGGGCTCTATCATTTCTACATTTGAAACTGTGTAGTCAGCCTCCACCACATCACTGCCTAATGCATTCCACTTGTTAACTACTCTGATAATGAAAAAGTTCTTTCTAACGTCCCTGTGGCTCATTTGGGTACTCAATATCCACCTGTGTCTCCTTGTTCGCATTCCACCCGTATTAAAAAGTTTATCCTTATCTATCCTGTCAATTCCTCTGAGAATTTTGTAGGTAGTGATCATGTCTCCCCTGTGTTTCAATGTCGTGAGGTGCATCTCACGCAGGCTTTCCACGTAACTCATGCCTCTTAGTTCTGGGACTAGCCTAGTGGCATACCTCTAAACTTTTTCCTGCTTCGTCTTGTGCTTGACAAGGTACGGGTTCCATGCTGGGACCACATACTCCAGGATTGGTCTTACATAAGCGGTATACAAGGTTCTGAATGATTCCTTACATAGGTTCCTGAAGGCTGTTCTGATGTTAGCCAGCCTCGCGTACGCCGCAGATGTAATTTTTTTTTTTTTTTTTTTTTTTTTTGATATATACTTGTTACATTCTTGTACAGCCACTAGGCTTTTCGGGCAGGAGATCCCCTGCCGCGAGAATCGTTGTGTGTGATATCAACTGAATTCTTTTATGTGGGCTTCAGGAGACAGGTTTGGTGTGATATCAACTCCTAGATATCACACCAAACTCTGTGTACTTACCTATTTGTGCTTGCAGGATCGAGCATTGACTCTTGGATCCCGCCTTTCTAGCCATCGGTTGTTTACAGCAATGACTCCTGTCCCGTTTCCCTATCATATCTAGTTTTAAAAGTATGAATAGAGTTTATACTTCCACAACCTGCTCCTTAAGTGTATTTCATTTTTCCACTACTCTCACGCTAAAAGAATACTTCCTAACATCTCTGTGACTCATCTGAGTTTCCAGCTTCCACCCATGTCCCCTCGTTCTGTTACTATTACGTGTGAACATTTCATCTATGTCCACTTTGTCAATTCCCCTGAGTATTTTATATGTTCTTGTCATATCCCCCTTTCTCCCTTCTTTTTTCTAGTGTCGTTAGGTTCAGTTCCTTCAGGCGTTCTTCATATCCCATCCCTCGTAACTCTGGGACAAGCCTCGTCGCAAACTTCTGAACCTTTTCCAGTTTCCTTATGCGTTTCTTCAGGTGAGGACTCGATGATGGCGCGACATACTCTAAGACTGGCATCACGTAGGCAGTGTAAAGCGCCCTAAAAGCCTCCTCACTTTGGTTTCTGAATGATGTTCTAACTTTTGCCAGTGTGGAGTACGCTACTGTCGTTATCCTATTTATATGTGCCTCAGGAGTTAGATTAGGTGTTACGTCCACTCCCAGGTTTCTTTCTCGAATCATCACAGGTAGGCAATTCCCCTTCATTGTGTAATGTCCCTTTGGTTTCCTATCACCTGATCCCATTTCCATAACTTTACATTTACTCCTGTTGAACTCCAGTAGCCATTTCTCTGACCAACTCTGCAACCTGTCCAGATCCTCCTGGAGGATCCTGCAATCCTCATCTGTCACAAGTCTTCTTATTAGTTTTGTGTCATCCGCGAACATTGACATGTAGAATTCCACTCCTGTAAACATATCATTTATGTAAATTAGAAATAAAATTGGTCCCAGCACCAATCCTTGAGGTACACCACTCGTTACTGTTCGCCAGTCCGACTTCTCGCCCCTTACCATTACTCTCTGGCTCCTTCCTGTTAGGTAGTTCCTTACCCATGCTAGGGCCTTTAGACTTACTCCTGCCTGCCTCTCAAGTTTGAATAGCAGTCTCATGTGCGATACTGTATCAAAGGCCTTTTGGAAGTCTAGAAATATGCAGTCTGCCCAACCTTCTCTGTCCTGCCTTATCCTTGTTACTTTATCATAGAATCCTAAAAGGTTTGTTAGGCATGATTTCCCTGTCTAGAACCCATGTTGGTGTTTGTTTACAAACCTAATGCTCTCCAAGTGTACAAAAAGTCTTAGCTTAATTATTCTTTCATGTATTTTACAGGGGATGCTTGTCAGTGATACGGGTCTGTAGTTAAGTGCTTCCTCACTATCTCCTTTCTTGAAAATCGGTATGACATTTGTCTTCTTCCAACAACTGGGCAATTCTCCCGACATAAGTGACTCATTAAAGATCATTGCCAGAGGTACGCTGAGGGCCTGCACTGCCTCTTTTAGTATCCACGATCATAATTTGTCTGGTCCAACCGCTTTAATTGCATCCAGTGTTGTCAACTGTTTCATTATCTCCTCTGCTGTCACCTCTATATGCAATAGTCTTCTGTCTGGGGTAATCTCTTCTAACAATGGGAGATGTTCAGGCTCAGTCGTGAACACTCCATGGAAACTTGCATTCAGTACCTCGCAGATTTCCCTGTCACTTTCTGTATATGCCCCTTCTGTTTTCATTATTCGTCTTGTCACTTGGTCATTTACCGACATCTTGCTTCTTATATGGCTGTGTAGTAATTTGGGTTACTTTTTCGCCTTGATTGCAATATCATTCTCATAATTTCTTTCCGATGTTCGTCTTATGCTAATGTAATCGTTCCTAGCTGTGTTACATCTAATCCTGTTGTCCTCTGTCCTTTGTCTTCTGTACTTCCTCCACTCCCTCCTGCTTCTCATTTTTGCTTCCTGACACTGTCTATTAAACCATGGGTTATTATATTCCCTCCTGCTTTTTTCCTTTACTGTTGGAATAAATCTCTTCGGCCTCCTTGCATTTCCATATGACTTGGTTCATCATATCTTGCATTGTTTTTCCTTCTAATTTCTTCCTCCCACTGTACCTCTCCCAGGTAGTCCCTTATCCTTTTGTAGTTCCCTTTCCTGTAATCAACTCTCCTTTTCCAGACTTCTTGTCCTTTGCTCTCAATTTTGAGTTCCATCATGTAGTCAAAGACTAGGACACAATGGTCACTGGCTCCTAGAGGTATTTCATGTTCCAAATTCTCGATGTCTTCTCCATTCTGTGTGAAGATCAGTGAACTGTTACTGAACAGTTCAGTAGATCAGTCAACTGAAGATCAGTCAATTGTGTGTATGTGTGTGGGGGGGGGTGTTAGTAACAGTTGATTGATTGACAGTTGAGAGGCGGACCGAAAGAGTAGAGCTCAACCCCCGCAAGCATAACTAGGTGAATACTTGTCTAGTCTAGCCGCCTAGTCCTTGACGTGGTACTCCAGCCCGCTCATCTGTTAAGGTAAGCAACACCTCGATGCTAAATTTTAATTTTTAGTTTTGCCCCGAGGGGCGAGTTTATTGGGCAGCGCCACTCATCTTGTGAGTGGACACACCGCCATAACAGCATATACAACTCTCTCCAATAGGAAGAAAACCCGCTGGGTTGTTCATCCTGTCACTTGTACCCAGACACAGCTGGGACCTGCTTAACTGTCTCAAGTGAACAAGAAGATTAACATTTGTCAACCCTTAAAATCTTACGTTATATTGCTGGTGCAAAATAGGGGAATCTTTTTAGAACAGTATCTATATTTGACAAATAGTGTTTTTCTAACTCAAACAATGTGGGGTTTATTATTCTACACATACTTCTAATGACTCTTAGATGTTAACGCTCTCAGGTAGTGGTCAAGGCGGTGTCCGTCACACGCCACAGATTCTGCAGCTCCGCTGCTCAACTGTTGTTTCTATTCTGAGTCTCCATGGATATTAGTATCCAAGACAGATTCTTGCTATTATTCTCTCCCGCGGCCACCTCCTCTTCGTCCATAATGATTGGGATTGCCAGCTGCAACCATGTTGGACCATCGTACAGATTCACTGGTTTGTTCTTCTATCCTTCTTTCCTCAGTTACCTTGTCACGGTGATGTTGCCTGACAATACCTCTAATTTGTAGAAGAGTCTTGGATATGAAGTATTCAATAAGGTCTTCAGCACCCTCAGCAGCCAGCACATCTGCTCGTTCATTTCCATAGATTCCAACATGGGAGGGAATCCACAGAAATTTGACGACTCTTCCATGGCTGGTTAGTATTCTCACAGCTCTCTTGATTTCAGCGACTATCGCAAGGTTTTCTGCCCGATATTTATTAAGTCTTTGTAGTGCTGCTTTTGAGTCAGTGCAGATCACTGCACCGTTAATGTTTCGTTCAAGGAATCTTAACGCCAAAACAATGACAGTTAGCTCTGCTTGCGTTCTGAAGGCATCGTTCGCAATACGCGCTTTTTCTTCATTTCCGCGTTGAAAGGCATTATTCCTAATGACAGTGTATGCTGCACCAGCCCTGCCATTTGACAGGATTAGATGACCCATCAGTGTAGATTTGATATAATTCATCTCCGGCTTCTTTATAAATTTCCTCAAGATACCAAGATACCTATGCCTCATTTCTTGTGGTATCATACTGGACTTCTTCGTTGTCATCTTGTTGATAATAATTCTGCATGGGTTATCCACCCAGGAAGGTAACCTCTCTACAGGCATGTGCTCGCGGGCTTGCTCAAGCACGGGAACTTCTTGGAGGTAACAGACTGATCTGTGTTGGCATGTTTTGCTTTTCCTGTTTCCTCCTGTAAGTAGCACAGAACTCATTTTTTTTCTTGATAATATCATTGTAATAGTGACCTCTGCCTATCTTAATTGCAAACATAGCATTCAGTTCCTTAATTCTGCTTTTAACACTGGGAAGGGACAACTCCTCTCGTAGATTAGACGTTTTGGCAGTTCTTGGAACTCCAAGAATGATTGTCATGGCTTCATTTTGGATGCTTTCAAGTTTTTTCATACCGTTTTGGGAATAAGTGTCTCTATAATAAGTCTATATAGTAAGACATAGACTATGCCGCACCAGTTTTGGTGCGGCATAGTCTAGGACGGGGCGCACATAGGCTGTGTACATCATTTTAAGCACGGCAATAGAGGCCCCATGACCATTCCAGGTCATAGCTTTCAGTGCCCTGAGTCGACTTTTGCATGTTCCTATACATGCAGGAGCTGTTCCTATGAGTTGGTTGAGCTCCTCTTTCTTCCCCTTGTTAGAGCCGACAGTGACGCCAAGGTACCGATAGTGGTCAACCCATTCAAGTGTTGCACCATTAATTTGTAGTTCATTTTCTCCCCGCGTGTGATGAGAGTATGCTTTTGTCTTGTTTGTGGAGAGAGTGAAACAGAGTTCAACACATTTCATTCCAAGGAGTTCAATGGACTATTTAATTTTTCCCAAGGTGGGAGCTTGTATTAGGACATCATCTGCATATCCCACTTGTTGTGTTCCTTCTGGAAATTCAATATGTGCAATGGCGTTCATAAGTACATTGAATAGTGTAGGGCTTAAGACTCCGCCTTGGGGGGTCCCAAGTTCCATATTCATTGTTCTGGAGACTGCTCCATTGAAGCAGACCTTGGTTTTCCTCCCTGTGAGGTAGTCTGCAATCTATTTCATGAGTCTCCCCTTGACACCCATGCATGCAAGCTCGTCCAGGATCACAATCCCCTGCGCTTTGTCGAAGGTTCCTTTGATGTCAACAAATACAAACTACCTTCTTTTTTTTTTTTAGCGTCCCCGCGGCCCGGTCCTCGACTAGGCCTCCACCCCCAGGAAGCAGCTCGTGACAGCTGACTAACTCCCAGGTACCTATTTACTGCTAGGTAAGAGGTGCATCAGGGTGAAAGAAACTCTGCCCATCGTTTCTCTCCGGCGCCCGGGATCGAACCCGGGACCACAGGATCACGCGTACAGTGCTCTGTCCGCTCAGCCACCGGGTCCCTACCTAGCTGTGTCATTAGCCAAGTAATTAACTATACAATTTGCAGTGCTCTGTCCTTTAACAAACCCATTGACCCCCTCCCCTAACCTGCCTATTTTGTGCAACAGTCGGTTTAAAAGGATCCTTTCAAGCATCTTGCAAGTGCATGACACGAGGCTGATAGGTCTGTAATTACCAGGGTCATTGGGCTTCAGTATGGGAACAATTATTGCGTGTTTCCATTGTGTGGGCAACACTTCACTTAGGAATGACTTGTTAAACAGGTGGAGTAGTGGATTCCCAGACACTTCACACAGTGCATTGAGTATGTCGTAGGTGACGCCATCCTCACCAGGTGCTGTACTTTTACCCTTTTTCATAGCGCCCCTTACTTCCTGGGCTGTGATTGGTTCCCCATATTCGTCATCACTAGACTGTGCTCTTGTTATCGTAATTATTCTGTCATGTCTCAGGAGCTGTTCCCTGCTTACTTCTGTAGGGTGGGAGGAGGAGGATGCTGCATCACTCCACTTGTGGATTAGTTCCTCAGCCTTACCCTTACAGTTCCTCAGCCTGAACTCAGCTCAACAAGGTGAATACACACACACACACACACACACACACACACACACACACACACACACACACACACACACAAACTGCTCTACAGCCACATCAGGAGGAAAACAGCAGTGAAGGAACAAGTGATGAAACTGAGAACAAATACACAGAAAATAATAAGGTGGTGTGTGAAGAACTCGACAGGAGATTCCAGGCGGTCTTCACAGAAGAACAAGGTGAAGCCCCAGCACTAAATGAGGCAAACCAAGCAACCTTGGAGGAATTTGATCTCACCAGTGATGAGGTCAAAAGGAATCTGTTGGAGCTGAATGTGACAAAGGCTGTTGGTCCTGACAGAATCTCACCATAGATACTAAAAGAAGGTGCAGAGGCACTAAGTGTGCCACTCTTTATGGTGTATAACAGGTCACTGGAAACAGGAGACCTACCGGAAAGTTGGGAGACAGCTAATGTAGTCCCAATATACAAAAAGGGTGACAGGCAAGAGGCACTGAACTACAAGCCAGTTTCCCTAACTTGTATACCATGCAAGGTGATAGAGAAGATCGTGAGGAAAAGGCTCGTAGAGCATCTAGAGAGAAACAGCTTCGTAACACACCACCAGCATTGGTTCAGAGATGGTAAATCGTGCCTCACAGGTTTAATAGAATTCTGTGACCAAGCAACAAAAGTTAGGCTAGAAAGAGAAGGGTGGGCAGACTGCATTTTCTTGGACTGTCAGAAAGCCTTTGACAAAGTACCCCATAAAAGGCTGTTACGAAAGTTGGAGCAACAGGCAGGATTTTTTTTATTATTATTATTATTATTTTTCTACCACAGACGTGGCCACACATTTACAATGCTAACCAGCATTTATACATTTTCTTCTGTCCTCCATGGACAGGGTTAGAGATCAGTTAAACACACAGTTCAGAACAGGCAGGAGTAAAAGGTAAGGTGCTCCAGTGGATAAGGGAGTATCTAAGCAACAGGAAACAGCGAGTAACTGTGAGGGGGAAGACATCAGAGTGGCGAGATGTCACCAGCAGAGTCCCACAGGGCTCAGTACTTGGACCATCCTGTTTCTAATATATGTAAATGATCTTCCAGAGGGTATAGACTCATTCCTCTCAAAGGTTTGCTGATGGTGCAAAAATTATGAGAAGAATCAAGACAGATGAAGATAGACAGAGACTACAGGATGACCTGGACAAACTGGAGGAATGTTCTAGAAAATGGTTGCTAAAGTTCAACTCAGGAAAGTGTAAAGTAATGAAATTAGGCGAAGGGAGCAGAAGGCTGAACACAAAGTACCATCTGGGAGGTGAAATCCTGCAAGAGTCAAATAGAGAGAAAGATCTGGGGATTGATATCACACCGAACCTGTCCCCAGAGGCCCACATCAAAAGGATATCATCAGCGGCATATGATAGGTTGGCCAGCATAAGAACTGCCTTTAGAAACTTGTGTAAGGAATCGTTCAGGACCTTGTATACCACTTATATCAGACCAATCCTGGAATATGCAGCTCTTGCCTGGAGTCCATATCTAGTTAAACACAAGACAAAGAGAAGATTCAGCTGTATGCCAGCAGACTTGTCCCGGAACTGAGAAGCATGAGCTACGAGGAAAGGCTGATGGAGCTGAACCTCACGTCCCTGGAAAACAGAAGAGTAAGGGGAGACATGATAACCACCTACAGAATTCTCAGAAGAACAGGGTGAACAAAGATATACTCTTCAGCACGGGTAGAACACGAACTAGGGGACACAGGTGGAAACTTAGTAACCTAATGAGCCACAGAGACATTAGAAAGAATTTTTTCAGTGTCGGAGTAGTTATTAAATGGATTCACTAGGAAGTGATGTAGTGGAGGCTGACTCCATACACAGTTTCAAGTGTAGATATGATAGATCCCAGTAGGCTCAGGAACCTGTACACCAGTTGATTGACAGTTGAGAGGCGGGACCAAAGAGACAAAGCTCAACCCCCGCAAGCACAAATAGGTGAGTACACACACACACACACACACACACACACACACACACACACACACACACACACACACATATACACACACGCCAGATCTGACATCTGATAGGACTTGCTGATGATAAGTCGTTGATAGTAGACAATCTAGAGATAATCACACTAATTACCATAGTAATTAAGAGCTGTCAGGGGGGGAGCTCCGACTCTAAGCCAAGACTAAGTGATAACATCTAGCGCAAGATATACCTTGAGTGTTGAAGTTCATGTACAGGTGAGTGGCCCTACTTGTGTGTGTGTGTGTGGCCCTACTTGTGTGTGTGTGTGTGGCCCTACTTGTGTGTGTGTGTGTGGCCCTACTTGTGTGTGTGGCCCTACTTGTGTGTGTGGCCCTACTTGTGTGTGTGTGTGTGTGTGTGTCCCTACTTGTGTGTGTGTGTGTGTCCCTACTTGTGTGTGTGTGTGTGTCCCTACTTGTGTGTGTGTGTGTGTCCCTACTTGTGTGTGTGTGTGTGTCCCTACTTGTGTGTGTGTGTGTGTGTGGCCCTACTTGTGTGTGTGTGTGGCCCTACTTGTGTGTGTGTGTGGCCCTACTTGTGTGTGTGTGTGGCCCTACTTGTGTGTGTGTGTGGCCCTACTTGTGTGTGTGTGTGGCCCTACTTGTGTGTGTGTGTGGCCCTACTTTGTGTGTGTGTGTGTGTGTGGCCCTACTTGTGTGTGTGTGTGTGTG